CGTAACTGGGCTTAACCATACAGTCATCACACATCCCGAAGCACACTGTGCAGCTGCTTCACCCCCTGTGGGGATCGAACTCACAGTCCGACTGTTACCAGTCCGTGGTAAAGACCACCTGGTTTCGTGGGTCGGTACCGACTGATACGATTAGGTTAATTAGTGGCTTCGTTAGATGAGAGACTACCCTCTCAATTGCACGGAAATAATATGCAAGTCCGGAGAATGCGCGGCGCTATGTCACATTTACCATTTACTCACGGCGACAAAAATAGTGTCCTGTGGTTGATCGCTAAAACGCTGCCGTCAAACATTTAAGCCTTGTGCCTCACACTTAATATTTGGGTGCAAAGATTTGCCCATGATCCCAGTATCGAACATGGGTTCTCCTAGAAATGGTCGAGGAAAATGGAAATATACTCTTAGCAAGTTAGGAGGCTGGACTTACTCAGGTAGATTATGGGAGGCGAGATCAAGTGTTGGTAAGGTGTGAAGAGCCTTTTTCGAATAAACACACATGAAGGATGTATAATTATAAGAGGAGGACCAAAGTTATTGTCCGCCATTGCTAACTGATTGTTTGGTTGGGGATGGTAACAATGATCCAAGTTAAGATGAAAAGTATCAAATTGAGCTCTTGAAAGAAGACACAAGTCTGCAATGTGGATGATGCAAGGCATGCAATTATAGGCATTCAGTAGTTTGAATATCAAGGGTCTTCACTCATGTACAGAGAAGCCAGCGATGTTAAGGTGAGCATTTTGCCGAAATGCTATCCGGTAGCTGGCAGTCAAGGTTGAGAAGTAGATACTTGAACCAAGCATGACTCGGCAGATTCTCCTTGATGCTCTCTGTCAAGATGAACCCGTTCGACGGTTAAAACTACTACTGATAAACTTATATCAAATATTATTATAAATCTTTGCGAATGGCCAATTAAACGTGTGAGATTTGTAACTTGTATCACAAGATCGGAATATTTCGTGCAAACAAACGCGCTTGGCATAGACTGCCATTGGTTAAACTCTGGTTACATAAACCGGCAATTATTTCGGACCTACTTCACCTACATATTTTTCAAGGGTGCAGCGTGTATCCTATCTTTCTTACATTAGTGCGTGCAATGTTGCCTTAATCTGTACATGTGAATGGGTAGTTAGCGACCTGCGCAAATCTAGTGAGGTAAATACCCTGTGTGGTCTCCTGCAACTAAGCAGCAAGGTCATGCAAAGGTACCTCTAGAGGATTTCGTCGTCAGTGATTACATTGAACATTGATTTCTTTTATTGAATGACTCAATTTAAACTGGAAACAGCTTCAAGCATTACTGTTCTTTTGTTTTTAAATCTCTATTTTATGGTACAATTTTTCCATTTAGCCCTCAATAAACAGATTTTTCGGTGATTCTGTACATTTGTTTCAATATTTCTTCTGATTTTGACAATTTCTATGCCCTAGTATGTACGTTATGGTGTTTAAGGATGAAAAAGGCCTTATGTGAGACTGCCGCAGTCAAATGACAAACGAATTTTCATTTAATGCTTATCCAGAAACTACCGAACGAAGTAACTACCCACCTTCTAACTAGATCATGCTGATAGTTAGTCTAAAGAATCCTTGTGTCTAGATTCAATGATGAACGATAATTAACGATTTGGTCGGAATCGATTTCTACAGTAGTCCTCAGTACCCGAATTTCAGCCCTTATTACACCTGTGGAAAATATGACATGTTGATCGAAGAGGTCATTTGAAGCACACGCTGTTTGAATTGATTGTAGTATGGATTGCGATACTCACTGAAGTTAATCTTAGCCAATTCCTTTATCCCTTTGCCCACTGGGTCACGACCAGCAAGCTTGTCACAGCGGTTAACGACTGATTGGAGGGTCATTTGGAAGTATTAGGTGTTTGAATGAATTGCGACATGCGATCTTAATGTGGATCGCAAATCACATTTAAACGAACCTTTATCAATTTGATGAAATTTTACGCTACATTTCCGAAATCTTGAAAGATATTTGGGACCGATCGAGAAGTCATGAATTCAGAGAGGTTATGTTACAATCCATTGAAATATGTCCCTTTTAGAATGGTTATCGTCTTAGTTCCCTATAAAACGCGTTGCCACTCATAAACTGATTCACCTGGCCTGACGACATGGTATTAAAAGTGAAATATTGTCAAGCAAGTACACCAATTGATTGTTTTTAAACCTTTACGAAATCGTTAAACTACCGTTGTTTTCATCAAGAGATAGTGTTCAGTAGGTAAACTAAATGTTCTGTCTGTGCTGGGCAGTCTTTGTGCGACCAGTTTTGTCTGTAAGTAGCAAGCAGTGTAGTTCAGCATACTACAATCTTACAATGACCCTCTGTCACCAAAACTGCACACCTTCCCCAGCGTGTACATTAGGCTCAATAAGACTGTATTAATGAGAGTGCAGAGGTCATTCGAGGTGAAGCCAATAGAATGATAGAGTTGCTACTGCATTCAAAGTATTTACATATGTATATTGATCCAGAATATAGAAACTTTTCACTTTTCCTTAAGAGAAAACAACTAGAATGCAGGTGGTATTTAGATGGGATATTCCGCGTATGTCATACTGAACAAATGGCTAAAAACCAGCGAAAAAAGGATCCAAAACCATTGGGGTGAAACAGTCATATTTTTCTAGGATGTGGTGCATAGTTTGAATCCGAGGCAATTTTACATTCCCTTCACTACGACTTGTTAAGCTTCAAGCACTTTGTACATATTTAACAGGATGAGAGAACAAAGTGGATAAGTACAGAATAGTTCGAATGAATAAAATGAAATTCGTACCCTTCGCTACACTACTAATAGTACTAAAGGTACAGCACAACACAGCAAACTACTCCAAGGTACTTTCGCTCAGTTTTAAGGCGGTTGTGCTTAAAGCACATAAGTAACAATGATGTACTTTCTTATCCTTTCGAATGGCATTTAATGCATGCCAGTGCAACAAACACGTACATATGAAGCTGCTGTAGTCTCACACTGAGGACGACGTAGTCATGCTCTTTTTAATGAAGGTTATTAGAAGCGGTTCGTTTCAGTAGATCAGCCACAACAACAGTATCCTGTGCATGGGTCGACCGCACCGCATATACCTGTCCTCAATGAACTACAGAATTTCGGGAACGGTGTATGTTCTTTGGTTTAGCTGAGAGGTGAATAATATTCATTTCGATTCCCTGTGTAATGAAGCAACACCGGCTGCCCGTGACTTACCAGGAGTTGCTGTAATCTTTCACTTAGGCAATGCGCAATTTCCATCTCCTTCACCATATATACTCACAAGGATTATGATCCTATCACTGCCTATCAAACACTCATCCCACCTACGCGCAAAGTTGTTTCGTAGACCAACAAATAAACTTCCGGTAAGTTTGCTAGTTTCATCATCTGTGCTGTCTGCAGCTAATGTTTAAAGACACAACTAGTAGGGAAGTGTCAAGACAAAACGCCGCACGGAGTGAGAGACGATGGTGGATAGAATTAGATATGAGTTAGCTTACAAATATTCAAAGGACCGGCAGGCTGGAAACGCTCTGCGTATAATACATGGAATATGCTACCTTGACTGATTAAAGAAGACTTGTCTGCATTCGTGTTAATCGCTCCCCAGCTACTGATTACTTTCTTCTTTCGATGTACTCATGTGTTGGGGATTTTGGTATAAATAATGCCCAACAGGTTGAAACTGCAGTCTAGTGTTTTGCTGGGCATGTGGAAGACTAGCTAATTTGCAGGCTGGCTATTACAAACATGATTTATTTGTTTTATTATTATTTGGTAGCTAACAACCATGCAAGTGGCTCATTAATGTCAGCTTGATCTCACCTTTTGAATTTGACCCACTTTTTCCGCTTAATTTCAGAGAAGTCTCTGTAAAGGCTTTACTTATTAAAACCTGAATTTAAGGTTCTTCCAAAGATCGCTACGATGCTCTAGCCGTATAGTAACATACCATTCACTGGAATGGAATCCACTTTGAAGGGCAGTAAAGTCGTTTAATTACCTGCCGGTACATTGAGGTACGTTAGGTTTTTACGTTTGTACCACAATATTCCTTCCATGGGTTACCAGAATCCTAAAATGTACTGGTCCGTAAAATTCAACCTTACGCTTATGTGTAATCCTGCCCAGATGAACCGCAAGAATAAAACTAACCCCTCAGCTGAACAATGCGTAACGAGCTCCGGCTTTTTATCTCCGGAGCATCCTGATAATCGTTCGGTGGCCTGCGTGATTGTGAGGATACGGACGACTGCCACCATCAAAGAAAAACCAGCACCTCTTCTGGTGTTGTAATACTTTGAAGAAGCAAAGAAAAGTTAATTAGATTGCGCCTTTACATTAGTCCCGCACAGTCATGCATAATGTGAAGAAGGAGCATAATTTCGCCAATGCACCCCGCAAAATATTTTTATGATACGAAGCCATTACACACAACTTTTACCACAAATTTCGAATTCTCAAGTAAACGCAATCCATGTCAATGCACTGACTCCGAAACATACTGCTCTTTACCACAAGCATCTTGCAAACATTGATCTGGTCAATTTTATCGGCCTGCATAAAATATGACGATGAGGTTTTTTCAAGCGATATAATCATGCAAAAAGCACCACCTTTAATCATAACAAAGAATTACATTCCACTTCCTTGTAATATACAGGTTTTAGCTGAAAATCTCTGAACAGCTTCCGATTCTTCCGATCTGCTTGTGATCCTCTCCTGCACATGATTATACAAACAAAATCATTCCTATGCAGAAGTGCCTTGCACTGCTGACAGGAAGCTTTTATTTAATTATTTATTAATATCTTCGTGGGTAAGTTGTAAAAGGAGTGAGATTAATTTGAGGGCCTTCTGCCACTTCATCTGGCAGAGTTGTAACACGCCGTCTAAGATGATAAACACTTTGCATGGTATTAGACAATCAAAATGACAAGAGCAATTCACACTCACCCGAACAAAATCTGGGGCCACTGTTTCACGATTTGCGTAGGCTTCCAAATCTGATATCTTGATGACCCCATCCCCGTCTCTATCAATTTGTCTAAAGGCAGCAAGAAAGCTGTTCTGTGCCATTTGCTTCCTTAGGGTTCACCCAAATTTCCTTCACTTCGAATATGAATTCACGGCACTTCTTTGCCGGTGTGAAAGGCGTTAAGTGGCTTCACATGTGACTAGAAATCCGTCTGATGCACACTCTACCGGTTGTCTTGATTTGTGGCATGAGCACCTGTGTGTGTCAGGCTACAGAGTGTGCATGCGCTTGTGCCGACCGATCACTTTTCTATTCAGCCTCAGCCGGATCAATGTGCACATTCTGAGCAACACCCGAAGCAGTGATGTCTGACTCACCGGACTTGCAACATTAGGTTCACCACGAGAATAAAGTACAGAAGAAAATCGCTCCAAATGGTCAACGATATACTGCGGATAAAAATGCTGAACCTTGATATGTACTGCAGGATACTGCGTGGGGGCATTCAAAAGAAAAGGAAAACAGGCATAAACAGAGAAACACCGAAAACAATGAACACACTGAGTAAAGATGTAATCGTAGGATTTGGTTAGAAATGGTTTCTTGTAACTAGAAATTTCACCACCTCTGCTTTTTCCACAACAATTGCTGTAAGGTGAGGCTGGTTGTATTCTGAATGTGTATATAGTTCAGGTTTATTATATTATTCCGTACAATGATTTGCGAAGTTTCGACATGATTTTTGGATACAGCTGTTGTAGGAGCTTTACTCATATTTTCTGGGAGTGTATTTCATATGTGCAAATACGCAACGAGAAGAAATCACGTCAGCACTGCACATGGCTGCATTGTACTACCCGTAAGAGAAGGTCGATCATGTGTTTGCTGCCATAACTGAGTTCGAATAGCTGATAACATTAGTAACTAATTTAAATAAATAATTAAATTGCATATTTCTCAACAGTGTGAGACACGGACCAACTGTGTTGTCTGACGGTTATTTGCAACATACTCAGATGCAAAAAGAAAATTTCCAGTATTTCACAACGTATGTCCTAGAGAAGTTTGCGGTGCTCACTTATGTAAAAGTAATAACCTACTAAAAGTAGTACGGGGGAATAAATGTGGGTCTAACCAGCAGTTCAAGTAAATTAATATGGTCACTTTTTGAACCGCCTCCTAAGGACCTGGTGCCATGAGGAGTTGTCCCTCCAGAAGTTTCATCCGCAATTCCACGCCTCATCTGGCCATGTCCTAAGTTAGATTAAAAGTGAGTAAGCCATCATTGTGTTGTGCGGGATTTTTGATCGCCTTTTTAAGCAGCAGACAATCAGCATGAAGATACCTTTTACTGCCGCTATTATGTATGATGGGCTGTCAAAAAACACGTTTTTTAAGTCCGGCACTATATTTCTCGCTAGTGCGCCTGTTACAATTTGCTTAGCGTATGTGTAATTATATATCTTAAACGATTCAACCCATCAGCTTGGAAGATCGGCCCAGTTATGACTAGTTACGCAAAAAATAAATTAATGAAGTACAATGAAAACCACGATAAGCAAACCTTTCACACTTCTCTAGAATGAGATGCGATCTGGCGGCTGTCTGTTTCCGTTCGTACAAATAATCAAAGGGAGCAAGTAAGTAAATAAGTAAATTGTTTTCTCGGTAGTGTTTTGAACAATGCAGAGCCTGAAGGATTTCCAGATGGTATCATCCGGTAAAACCAAAAGAAAAGAATAGAAGTTGTAATCGAACTGGGTTTCGCGAAGTAAGAAAAACTGCAGTGAATAGCTGATGTTTCACCTCCAGGAAAGAATAGGAGATAATTAACAGCGTAGAACAAATGCAAAGAGATGAAACGGGAAATATAATGCAAAGTGTCGTCTTGGTAAGCTTTGATGTGATGTCAGGCGGAAAATTCGCGTTATTTGATGAACCAACCTAATGCACCTGCAGACTGTGAGTGAATCAACTGATTCGGAGGAAAAAAAGGAATCTAAGGATTTAAATCATTTTCTTTTCGTTCCAATTCCAGAAGAAAATTCAGTTGCTATATTTGGTCTCAACATGCTGCTACCTGTTACAAATATTTGCTAAATGAGAGATTAGGGTTGCGTAATACATGACAAACCGTGATGGGGCCGTCAAACAAACGCAAACTATCGTTTAGTCGACGTTCCTAGGGAGCAGCCAGATGTGGGGGAATTTCTAAGACCATGAGATTTCGCCTTTGTCATGTTCGTCATGTTTGCACAGCATATTCCACGTGCTGGCGTATGTATGTAGAAAGCAGTTGGGTGAAAATAGATGGGTCGAAATGACCAACAGCCCTCCTTAACAGCCCCAAGTTTGGATTCAGTTTTTCAATGCTAGTGCAGATTCCTCCGAGGAACCATCACACTGAGATCATTTTCACGAGAACTGTGCTGGAGATTCTGGTATCTCGGTTGATAGGTGTAAACCACTTAGGTTTCTCTACATTTAGTCACGTTGAACTGAAGAAGATTGTTAAATGACCATTCATAAGTCTTGTCGAGATAGTTTTGAAGCTATTTTCGGTTGTCCGGAGGTTAGATCGGCCGCTAAACTTTTGTATCATCCGCGTAAAGCAAGCAGTTTGAAGCGACTGAGTTCATTAGAACACTGCTGAAAGGCGGGAACAGACGAGCCCCAATACCGAACCTCGTTGCACGCCGCATTGATTATGAGTCTTGTACCTCCACTTGCAGCCGGATGTGGCAGAGGAAGCTCCTGGTCCACCCTAAGAAGGAATTGCCAATACTGTATCACGGAACCTTGATTAGAAGGATGCGATAGTTCAACCGGTCATACGTTAGTCGAATGCACCAACTCTTACACCAGCCTTTACTGCTTCCGCCGAACTGTCCCTTGATAACAACGTCTTGGTGGTGCGCAATCAGTTCTTGAGTAAATCTTTCAGTGGATAACTCGGTTGTACTCTAGAAGTAAACAGTGACCATGTGGAGGTCGTTCCAAGCCAGCTGAAAGTAAGATAAGCGCACCCCATACAAACTAACAGGCTGTGCAGGCGGGCTGTACTCATACCAAACCGTATGTCATTCGTTATCAATATACCTAAGTATACATCAGTAACAGGCGTAAATCCCCACTCCATTCCTTGCTGTAGGTAAACCAGAGAATGTAGTAAAATGTGAGGCCGGTTCCTACCACTACCATTGAGGATTCGGTTTACGCATATCAAAACCACGCGTGGTCTAGAACAGCAACCCAGAAGACAAAATTAGTTTTGAGCTGCTTGCCGTGACGTAGGCAACAAAACCACTATTATATACCAGGTTCGCGTTCAGTGGAGAACGAAAAGTTCATGTTTTACTTTCCGGTTTTCAGATGAGGACAAGTTGGTAAAGATGTTCCGTACTAATGTAACACCTTATTAAAAATGTTACACGCTCTTCACTTCATGGCATTCTAACATGAGTTTGATCATATGTCCCCTAGTCAATAAAAATATACGCTTTCTGAATTTGGTTTATATGCCAACACTAACCATAGTAAAGTCAAGCCCTTTCACCTGCAAGGTAAAATGCTGGTTAAGATTAAAAGTTGATCATTCCCGAAGGATTCTAATTTTAAAAGCCATCCGAAATTCTCAGACAAATTATTCCGGATTCCACTGGTCACACGTGGTAGATATGCCGTCTTGTCCATTTTCGTCTAACCTCAACTGACGCATATAGAGACTGGTTCTCCATTTATAACTCAAATACGATTCCAAATGGTGCAGTAGAGCATTAAGCTTTCACGGTGCCAACAAGATAAAAGTATACTTTCTATACAATGAACGCTGCGCTTTTCTATTATCCCCCTTTACTTACAAGAGTGCGACAGAAGGGCAATCAAAATTCAAGTAAGCATGCAACTGATTTTGCATATGCATTCTTCATATATTATGCGTAGCATAACATATGCACCTAGTAGCAGAACTCCGAAAGTTCAGTCCGACTAGTGGAGCTGGTTTACCGGAGGTGTTTAAACAATCGTTACGATGGTCCATAAAGTGAGGTCTTAAAACATTGCGTGATATTCTTCACAGGTATGCTCTTCAAATGCTGCTATCCTCTGACAATTATTAAAGGCTTATACATGGGTTGGTAGCGGTATTGTGATGGCACTCAAAACAATTAAGTGGGCGATGTTGGACTGGGTAGTCGCCGAAAAAGTGTTTCAAACAACAAAAGTGAAAGGCACACAGTCTGTGTCTTGTCACTTACAATACCATATCAATGAGATGGTATCAAGGACACTGAGATACTTCCGTGGTTAGTAGCTTCTAAGTAGTCCTTTCCTCTCTGTAACAGCAAGATGCTTTCCGTTGGATTTCTCCGTCTATTGGAATCATTTGGTGGAAACTATATTCTTCGGTTAAATTTATCATACCGAATTTTTCGACCAACATACATTACTATCGTTTAATTTCGGAGAGCTCCGGAGACCCCTTTGTGCCGTATGATTGGTCAATATTTTGTCGGCGATTCACCATATTACTGAAACAATCACTTCGCGGTGCCCGTTGAAAGCTTACCGGACATCGATAAAATGCACGTACATTTCTTATGTGTCAATTTGATCCGCCTATTTCAGGCATTGGACAACCAAGTGACAATGTAAGACGTCTTCGTGAAACAACCTGATTTCATTCCCAGTTTGTGGAAGAATTGATGAACCGAGATATGGTCGGAAGAGTAGAGCGGAATCACGAGCCGCGGTGTAAACTGGTGCATTCGGATGGGAACAGTTGTGAGCGTTTGTCCGGACAAACTAGCCGAAATCGCATCTAGGTTTCAGAACAGCATTCTATCTAACCCCGTGCAAGCTCAGTGGTACGCTGTCCCACCGTTGCGGGCATCCCTGTTTCATCTGATGGGAATCTTGTATCACTGTTTCGTCATATGGGCACAGATATTCCAATAGGTGAAAGCTCGTCTACTGAAGACTTGTGAAAAATGCAAATAGTTTAACTGATGCAAATCAGCGACTGGCCAAACCCCATGAGGCTCAAGAAAATCTTTGCCATTCAAAATCAATTTAGCCCATCTTATGTGTTTTAACCACGTGATTGTTCACGCGCTGGAGTCCAGTGAAACAACTCTCAGATGTGTTGCGATCACGATGTCGATTCAAACAGAGCCTAGCAGATAAACACCTCGATATGGTAGCGGACGGGTAGAAACTGAGGTAAATAACCCGCTTTGGAAAGAAAGATGGGCAACAATGTCGGTCAAG